TTTCCTGGATCATAAAATATTTTTTCTCATACTTTCCTGGATCATAAAATATTTTCTCTCATACTTTCCTGGGTCATAAAATATTTTCTCTCATACTTTCCTAGATCATAAAATATTTTCTCTCATACTTTCCTGGGTCATAAAATATTTTCTCTCATACTTTCCTGGATCATAAAATATTTTTTCTCATACTTTCCTGGATCATAAAATATTTTCTCTCATACTTTCCTAGATTATAAAATATTTTCTCTCATACTTTCCTGGGTCATAAAATATTTTCTCTCATACTTTCCTGGATCATAAAATATTTTTTCTCATACTTTCCTGGATCATAAAAAATTTTCTCTCATACTTTCCTGGATCATAAAATATTTTCTCTCATACTTTCCTGGATCATAAAATATTTTCTCTCATACTTTCCTAGATCATAAAATATTTTCTCTCATACTTTCCTGGGTCATAAAATATTTTCTCTCATACTTTCCGGGATCATAAAATATTTTTCTCATACTTTCCTGGATCATAAAATATTTTTTCTCATACTTTCCTGGATCATAAAATATTTTCTCTCATACTTTCCTGGGTCATAAAATATTTTCTCTCATACTTTCTTGGATCATAAAATATTTTCTCTCATACTTTCCTGGGTCATAAAATATTTTCTCTCATACTTTCCTGGATCATAAAATATTTTCTCTCATACTATCCTAGATCATAAAATATTTTCTCTCATACTTTCCTGGGTCATAAAATATTTTCTCTCATACTTTCCTGGATCATATAATATTTTTTCTCATACTTTCCTGGATCATAAAATATTTTCTCTCATACTTTCCTGGGTCATAAAATACTTTCTCTCATACTTTCCTGGATCATATAATATTTTTTCTCATACTTTCCTGGATCATAAAATATTTTCTCTCATACTTTCCTGAATCATAAAATATTTTCTCTCATACTTTCCTAGATCATAAAATATTTTCTCTCATACTTTCCTGGGTCATAAAATATTTTCTCTCATACTTTCCTGGATCATAAAATATTTTTTCTCATACTTTCCTGGATCATAAAATATTTTTTCTCATACTTTCCTGGATCATAAAATATTTTCTCTCATACTTTCCTGGGTCATAAAATATTTTCTCTCATACTTTCCTGGATCATAAAATATTTTTTCTCATACTTTCCTGGATCATAAAATATTTTTTCTCATACTTTCCTGAATCATAAAATATTTTCACTCATACTTTCCTGGGTCATAAAATACTTTCTCTCATACTTTCCTGGATCATATAATATTTTTTCTCATACTTTCCTGGATCATAAAATATTTTCTCTCATACTTTCCTGGATCATAAAATATTTTCTCTCATACTTTCCTAGATCATAAAATATTTTCTCTCATACTTTCCTGGGTCATAAAATATTTTCTCTCATACTTTCCTGGATCATAAAATATTTTCTCTCATACTTTCCTGGATCATAAAATATTTTCTCTCATACTTTCCTAGATCATAAAATATTTTCTCTCATACTTTCCTGGGTCATAAAATATTTTCTCTCATACTTTCCGGGATCATAAAATATTTTTTCTCATACTTTCCTGGATCATAAAATATTTTCTCTCATACTTTCCTGGATCATAAAATATTTTTTCTCATACTTTCCTGGGTCATAAAATATTTTCTCTCATACTTTCCTGGATCATAAAATATTTTCTCTCATACTTTCCTAGATCATAAAATATTTTCTCTCATACTTTCCTGGGTCATAAAATATTTTCTCTCATACTTTCCTGGATCATAAAATATTTTTTCTCATACTTTCCTGGATCATAAAATATTTTCTCTCATACTTTCCTGGATCATAAAATATTTTCTCTCATACTTTCCTGGATCATAAAATATTTTTTCTCATACTTTCCTAGATCATAAAATATTTTCTCTCATACTTTCCTGGGTCATAAAATATTTTCTCTCATACTTTCCTGGGTCATAAAATATTTTCTCTCATACTTACCTGGATCATAAAATATTTTCTCTCATACTTTCCTAGATCATAAAATATTTTCTCTCATACTTTCCTGGGTCATAAAATATTTTCTCTCATACTTTCCTGGATCATAAAATATTTTTTCTCATACTTTCCTGGATCATAAAATATTTTCTCTCATACTTTCCTGGATCATAAAATATTTTCTCTCATACTTTCCTGGATCATAAAATATTTTCTCTCATACTTTCCTAGATCATAAAATATTTTCTCTCATACTTTCCTGGGTCATAAAATATTTTCTCTCATACTTTCCGGGATCATAAAATATTTTTCTCATACTTTCCTGGATCATAAAATATTTTTTCTCATACTTTCCTGGATCATAAAATATTTTCTCTCATACTTTCCTGGGTCATAAAATATTTTCTCTCATACTTTCCTGGATCATAAAATATTTTCTCTCATACTTTCCTGGGTCATAAAATATTTTCTCTCATACTTTCCTGGTTCATAAAATATTTTCTCTCATACTTTCCTAGATCATAAAATATTTTCTCTCATACTTTCCTGGGTCATAAAATATTTTCTCTCATACTTTCCTGGGTCATAAAATATTTTCTCTCATACTTTCCAGGATCATAAAATATTTTTTCTCATACTTTCCTGGATCATAAAATATTTTCTCTCATACTTTCCTGGATCATAAAATATTTTCTCTCATACTTTCCTAGATCATAAAATATTTTCTCTCATACTTTCCTGGGTCATAAAATATTTTCTCTCATACTTTCCTGGATCATATAATATTTTTTCTCATACTTTCCTGGATCATAAAATATTTTCTCTCATAATTTCCTGGGTCATAAAATATTTTCTCTCATACTTTCCTAGATCATAAAATATTTTCTCTCATACTTTCCTGGGTCATAAAATATTTTCTCTCATACTTTCCGGGATCATAAAATATTTTCTCTCATACTTTCCTGGGTCATAAAATATTTTCTCTCATACTTTCCGGGATCATAAAATATTTTTTCTCATACTTTCCTGGATCATAAAATATTTTCTCTCATACTTTCCTGGATCATAAAATATTTTCTCTCATACTTTCCTAGATCATAAAATATTTTCTCTCATACTTTCCTGGGTTATAAAATATTTTCTCTCATACTTTCCTGGGTCATAAAATATTTTCTCTCATACTTTCCGGGATCATAAAATATTTTCTCTCATACTTTCCTGGGTCATAAAATATTTTCTCTCATACTTTCCTAGATCATAAAATATTTTCTCTCATACTTTCCTGGGTCATAAAATATTTTCTCTCATACTTTCCGGGATCATAAAATATTTTTTCTCATACTTTCCTGGATCATAAAATATTTTTTCTCATACTTTCCTGGATCATAAAATATTTTCTCTTATACTTTCCTGGGTCATAAAATATTTTCTCTCATACTTTCCGGAATCATAAAATATATTTTCTCATACTTTCCTGGATCATAAAATATTTTCTCTCATACTTTCCTGGGTCATAAAATATTTTCTTTCATACTTTCCGGGATCATAAAATATTTTTTTTCATACTTTCCTGGATCATAAAATATTTTCTCTCATACTTTCCTGGATCATAAAATATTTTCTCTCATACTTTCCTAGATCATAAAATATTTTCTCTCATACTTTCCTGGGTCATAAAATATTTTCTCTCATACTTTCCTGGATCATATAATATTTTTTCTCATACTTTCCTGGATCATAAAATATTTTCTCTCATACTTTCCTGGGTCATAAAATATTTTCTCTCATACTTTCCTAGATCATAAAATATTTTCTCTCATACTTTCCTGGGTCATAAAATATTTTCTCTCATACTTTCCAGGATCATAAAATAATTTTTCTCATACTTTCCTGGATCATAAAATATTTTTTCTCATACTTTCCTGGATCATAAAAATATTTTCTCTCATACTTTCCTGGGTCATAAAATATTTTCTCTCATACTTTCCGGGATCATAAAGTATTTTTTCTCATACTTTCCTGGATCATAAAATATTTTCTCTCATACTTTCCTGGATCATAAAATATTTTCTCTCATACTTTCCTAGATCATAAAATATTTTCTCTCATACTTTCCTGGGTTATAAAATATTTTCTCTCATACTTTCCTGGATCATATAATATTTTTTCTCATACTTTCCTGGGTCATAAAATATTTTCTCTCATACTTTCCTGGATCATATAATATTTTTTCTCATACTTTCCTGGATCATAAAATATTTTCTCTCATACTTTCCGGGATCATAAAATATTTTTTCTCATACTTTCCTGGATCATAAAATATTTTCTCTCATACTTTCCTGGATCATAAAATATTTTCTCTCATACTTTCCTAGATCATAAAATATTTTCTCACATACTTTCCTGGGTCATAAAATATTTTCTCTCATACTTTCCTGGATCATATAATATTTTTTCTCATACTTTCCTGGATCATAAAATATTTTCTCTCATACTTTCCTGGATCATAAAATATTTTCTCTCATACTTTCCTAGATCATAAAACATTTTCTCTCATACTTTCCTGGATCATAAAATATTTATCAACAGTGTTTTTAATGTCAATCATTTTGTTGCTCTTCCTTCTCTTCTTAAATTAAAACATTTAAAATTAAATGTTTTAGTAATGATTTTTAATAAAATTATGGGTCTTTTTTTTAAGTATCATTTAGTCATACATCGGCTTAATTCATTCATAAGTAGAATTTCTCAGGGTTCTGTCTGAATTACTTAGTATGTTTAGTGTAATTATAAATTAATATTCATAAATTAACACAAGTAAAAAAAATTGTTTTTATTATTATGGCTATTTAAGTAAAAATTTTAAACTTTCGACTAAATAAAAACTATAATATGTAAATATAAAATATGAATTTTTATATAAAACTAAATAACTAAAAATATAAAAAAATATATGAATAATTACCATATAAATAACAACTTACTCTACGAGCTTTGCTTTGGTATTTAACAGCTTTCTTTGTATCCACTTCGGCTTTTTGAACAAATTCTGCAGCTTGTTTAACATTGTCTTCAATACTATCTATCATTTCTCCCTTTGATCACAAATCATTAAACAAATAAAATATTCTGGAAATTTAAAAAGTTTTGTCAATAGTAAAGAAACAAACCTGACTTTGAACTAACAATGCCATATCTGTGAACATTTCATGCAATTTCTAAATATAAAATTAATTTATTATAATGCAAAAATAATTCCTTAAATATAAAAATTACTAATTTTAAACAATTATTAAATTAATGTACGCAACAAAAAGATTTTTTTTTTTTTAAATCTTATAAAACAAATCAATAAAAATAAAGATCACAACAATAAAGATAACAAATCAATAAAAATAAAGACATTACTCTCTTTTATATATTTTATATACTCAATTTTAAAATACACAGGCACGTATTACATTTACATACAACTCTTTTGGAATATCAATATACATGTTTTGGAATACTCAATATATTACATATACATAAAGCCAAAAACACAATATACCACTTAACTTTTGTAACAAAAAAAAATTGTATATTTTAAAAGTTGAAAAAAATGCCTGCTTTTTCTACAAAAAAAAACATAAAACAAAATAAGGTTGTTTAAAAATTAAATATGAAATGCAACAAGTATAAGGTAATTCAAAAGCTTCATTCCAATCAATAAGATCTTTGAAAAAATAGCCTTTGTTTTAATATCTGGTGTTCTTCTTGTTAACATAAATAGATCTCCCTTTTCTATTTTCATCACCTTCTCTTACTTCAAGAATTTTGTTTACACTGAAACTCCTCTCTACTTTATTTTCAGAGTTTGAAAATAGATTCAGCAAATACATACCAAGCAGACTATTAAAGTTGAAACAGCTATACTCTAAATATCTAGTGATTAGTGTTAAAGCAGCTTAAGTTGATAACAAACATGTCTTGGTCCTTTTATCCAACTATGTTTAACTTTGTTGTTAAACCCGACATGAAATTACAATCCTATAGTAAACTCTACAAGTTTCAGAAGTTTGATGAGATACATAAATTCTAGAGATTCTATTAGCGTTAGTAAGTTATCAGGCCATGTTAACAAGTCCAATTTTAAGAAGCTGAGGAACATGGCTTCTTTGCACAGGTTTAACTAATTGGTAGCTATAATACTGACCTGTAAAAAGACCTTTTACCATACCATTACTTAAGTTAATAGGAGGCTCACTAATTTAAAAAAAGTGCTAATTTTAAGATTAGTTACTTCATCAAGTGAGCTCCCTTACTTTAATATTAGATTAAATTGTGACAATTGATTGGTGCACAGAACATAGAAAACTCAATTTGACTTTTGTCCTAACTACTGTTTCATTTAAGTACAATACTCTGTTCCTCCAAACTAGTGTTTGAATTGGTTTGGAGTCTTTACCGCTGTTGTCTCCACTCCACCACTGTTAAATGCTAATCTTCCTCATTATAATGTACTCAAAAACATGTTATAACTTCAATATTTTTTTTTTTTTTACTTCTTTAGCTGGACTGAAATAAAATAAATACTTCCCATCACTGGAACAAATTTGTCTTACTTACTTCTATAACTGTAGCAGGATATTGTCTGTATCCATCTACAGTTAAAAATGCTTTTGTCAGATCTTTTTGTCCACAAAAAATATTTAGTCTGTAATCTCTGTAATAACTGATTAAAAATTCAAAACAAAAAAACAAAAAAAAATAGTTACAATATCATTCATAACTTTATCCCTAGCTCTTCAAACTTTATTATGATCAATTACTAATCTACTGTCATTTTTTGATACAAGTCCACTAACTTATCAGTAGCTATGGCTGCAAATACTCCTAGATTAACACCATACCTAACACCTAAGTAAATATTAGAGACATCTTCATAATTTCTAAATTTTTTTAATTTTTGTAGTAGAGTTTAGAACAGAAAAAAAAAATCATTTTCATTAAAATTGAACTCGGTTCGTGAATAGCACAATTTTCATGAACCGTGCATTTCTTATCATGGTAAACTCTACTAATCTCAAACATCATGGCAAGTTCTTATAATGAATAAAATTTTTATAAAAATTAATATTTACCTTTATACTGTTTTCCAAATTTATAATATCATTATGACTAGCTTCAATTTCTTGCGATGATTGCTTTACTTGTTGTGTTTTGATTATTATCTGAAACCAAATTGATTAAATAATATAAATGATACAAAAATTACTTTTAATAAAAATTGTTGTAAGTTGTAAAACGTTTATAACAACATCAGATGTTTATAGTTTATTGGGTGGACACAGAAAAGCCCGATCAACTTTGAATTTTTTAAAAACTATAAAAGCTTTTTATTCTAAACTAGTTTTTAATTAAATATTACTTCTTTTATTTTTTTAAGTAAACATTACTTTCTTTTTTTCTTTCGTTACCTTTTCTTTTTTAAACTGAATTTACTTTCTTTTCTTTTTTTTAATTAAACATTATTTCCTTTTCTTATTTTAATTAATTACTTTCTTTTGTTTAACTGTGTTGATAAACTTTTAACAATCAATGATTTGCAAAATGTTGTGGAAACAAACTGAGGTGGGTAAAAAAGTTCAACTTCATATTGAATGATCATTAAACATATATAAATGTACCAAAATCTCATATCAATGGCCATAAATATTATAAGTTAAAGACTACTCAAAGCTTCTAAAGAAAACCCGGAAATGAAAGAAAACTTTCTGTAAATTTACAATGTTAAAGTCAATTCTCAGTTTATTGAACTGAGAATTGACTTAAAGAAATTCAAACCAGACACATAGAGATCTAGCAAGAAAATTCAAGACTTCGCAATCTTATATCAAAAAAAGTACTAAAAAAATGCTGGAATTAAAGCATTGCATAAGAAAAATACACCTAAGAGAAACTTAGATAGTGAAATTAAAATGGTGAAACTCAAAAGATTTCAATACACAAAAATGTTAAAAAAAATAATGTTGGATGAAAGTAAATGTGAGTTTTTGAAAGTGATGAAAGTTACACAAGATAGATTTTTCACAACTTCCTGGTCAACAACTTTATTATGAAAACAAAGACTGCCGAGTTTACATCAAAGAACAACTCTAAAAAAATATTTTGCCATTTATAAAAAGCCACAAATCCCACATATCGGAGATATCCCTGATTTTAGCATAATCTAGCTGTTTCTCACTAATTTATATAGGTTTTAAAATGGCGCAAAAATAATAATGAGATAATTCTAATTATTATTTTTTTAATTATACTGACACCAATTACTTATTATTGAAAGGAACTGGCCCAATACCTCATGAATATCTCATGTTAAACTCTTGCTTTTTTAATCTCCAGGGATTCTCTAATTTTTCTTATCCTGTAGTCTAAAATGACTGCCAAGGTCTTAGGATTCAGCCAATCAAAGTTACTACAGCATATTCTAGAATGTGCTGAATAGAATTAATTCTATTAATAACTCAAAAATATTAGTTAGCCAACATAAACACAAATAAGGTAAAAGAAGAAAAAATCCTTGAAATGATGACATCAAGCAGCACAAAAATTTGATCTCTTGCAAAGCAATTTTTCAAGCCCATTAAAACTAATTTAAAACATTAATTATTGTACACACATTTAATAAAAAAAGTTAGAAACAAAAAGCTTTTAAGGTTTTAGAGAAATCTTAATTTAAAGTTAACTAGATTTTTCCATGTCTACTAGGGTATATCATACTTCAGTCAAAATTTAAATTTTCAAAACTTTGGCTAGCAAATTTTGACTGGATTCCAATGTATTTGGGTATGGGGAATTCAATTTTAATAATATTTTTGTAAAATATAAATGTTTAGCTACCGGGAAACAGGTTTTAAAATTACAGTTTTATTAAAAACTAATCTTTTTAAATTAAGGTTTAATTTTTAAAATTTTTTAGACAAATTTTAATACAAAGTAAAATTTTACAAGGTAAAAATTAACTACAAGTAATATAACAGATTAAATTATCATTGACCCTCAGGATTACTCTGCCAGGCATGTATAAAAACAGTTGGGGTCCTGGCCGCCCCCTGTCAATATTTGATAATTTTATTATAATTATCAAGATATATTATGATTATTGTTTATGTAAACATAAATAAAAAAGCCTTTTTTTAAAAACATATTATGCATTCAAAGGTTTTCTAAAGTTTAGCAAAGAGACTGGAATCGTTCACTCCCCCCCCCCCCCCCATACCTAAAAAAACACACAAACCTTCATTTAAATAGTGGAAATGCCATAACTGCAAAAACAATTTAAAAAAATTAATATAAAAACTTATAAATTTTAACAAGCTTGAAAATAAATGCAGTAATAATAACCAAATAATATCAAATTAATAATAAAAAACTTTTACTAACTATATATATATATATGTAATCATTCTGTATGAAAACTAGAAAGAAAAAGTTTTAAACAATTTACAATACAGATTTTTTAGGATTGGTCACTTAAACAAAATCTTTTTCAAAATCAGTGATTTCATCACTGGCATTTATTTTCGATTTCACATCTGAGTTCGTACAAAACCATCTCTTTTATCCAAATTACAGACAGACACAGCTGCCTTGGTAACTAATTTGACTGTCCTCTCAAAACTTTGGGTATGCAACAAATATAAAGGAAGCTCCAGAAGAGAAACTCTCAATGCATTGAGTTGGGCTAATGACAAATTTGTTGTGAAAACTGGTTCAGTAATGATTTCTTTTTTCCAATCAATAAGTTCTTTGATTTAGGAAGCATCAAGGTTTATTTGTTTGTGGGACTTTAAAAGGCCTCACATCCGTAGAGCAATGTTCACTTACAGCCCTGACTGCCAATATAATGTCGACTGCAAATGACCTTTGTTCTGAGTTATCAGAATAGTGAAGTACAACAAGTATATTCTCAGGATGAGCCCACCAGGATTCACTTTTTAGATAAGGTTTAGAGGCTTCTTTAACCCTATCATTTGCTTCTGCCAAAGTCGAAATAGCTTTAAAAGATAACCAGAACCGTGTTTAATGCCACGATTTAGTTTAATTTCAAAAAACATTGGAAGATAAACTTATGTCACCCAAGTTGCAAGGAGCTTTATGACCTCTGCATTTTCAGGTTTTAGATCATGTTTGCTCAAATATAAAAGTAAGCCATCGACTTTGAAACAATCTACCACATTTAAGAACTGCTATTTCAGGATCAAGGTTTCCTTTTAATATTGCATTTCATTACTTCTGTGCAACTAAACTGTCAGTGCTCATTTGCTTAACAAAATCTTCACTGATATTAACTAAAGGCTCCAAAAGAGGAAATTTATTTAAAATAAATTTAGTAATTCTTTCAAGATTATCAACTTTAGAAAACAGTTTACCAACTGCTCCACACCATCCTTTTCCTGAAGAAGTTGGCCCGTCAAGTTTTTCCACAATATGACGAAATGGAAGCTCATCAATGTAAAGCCAGCAAAATGACCTAAAAAGTTTTCGATGGATAAGTTCCTCCACAAAATGAAGCATTCTACCTTTCCACCCAGACATTTCATTTGTAGTATCAGCAGACCTAGGATTCGCTTAGAAAATTCTGAGCAGCGCTCAATTTGTTGTTCAGCAGCTTTTTATGAATGGACGCTCGCGAATCTGCTCATAAAATTTCTTAAGTGGGCGCTCCGCTCATTCACTTACAAATCCGCTCATAAAAAAGTTTCAACAACTTTCCCAATATTCGCTCTTTAAATTCAGAAAAGTTTTTCAACTAACTACTTTAAAAAATGAGAGTGAAAAACTCTAAACGTTAACTGCAGTATTAAAATTAAGAAGTTTCTCTGGCTGGTTACATACATGTGCTGTTTTAAATATAAAGTTAAATACTTGACCACTAGATGACGCATTTCAACATGGAGTTAACTCCATGTTAACTAGCTCGATATTTGGCCGCTAGAAGGCGCAGAATGAGCGTAACTTTTGAGCGCTATCAAAAAAGCGTTTGCTCGCGCTCACGTTCATCTAAATTTGACTTCGCTCATGCTCACACTTTGCTCAGAAGTTTTGATCGCCGCTAATGAGCGAGTTCAATTTGAGCTCATCCTAGGTCTGAGTATCACAACCAATTAGTTTGAGGTTAAGTTTAAGGTCTTAGTTTGAGGTCTTTACCTCTTTCCATTAACCAGTTGAATAATCCAATAGCACATTGTTTGGCTGGTTTACATAATTCAGATTTAGACTCTGGTGTATAATGAGTAAGATAGCAACCTCTAGGCTCCTCTGTCACAGTTATATGGTATTCTTGAGTAATTTTTTTTTCTGAAGGTACCTGTGGTCTTATTGTGCATAAGGATTAAAGCTTCATCTTTTGTACCATCAACAAAAATTCCAGTGATTATATTTATTTCAGCCAATATTTTCTTCTACTCTAGAACACTTCATAGCACGCTCTTTGACACAAAAAATTTTCATCACAAATGAGACTATTTTTATCTTTAACAAGTTTTCCTGCCTTCATGATATCTTTTAGAAGACCATTAATGATAGCAGCAGTAGCAGTCGATGGCACACCAAATCTGACAGAGGCAATGGCAGCATTACTAATATCAAGGTAATTCCGTTTAAGATAATTTTCTTGTTTTTGTAATGTTGAGTCTTCTTTGCTATCACTGACTTAATCGCTATCACTGACCATATCAACATTAGAATTTTTATTTATTTCTGCTGCAACATCCATATTTTTAGCATAAAATCTAATAGTAGATGAATAAAATGTTCTTGACAACTCTGACTCTTCTGGTTGTCGATTGAGCCTTGCTTGATCGAATAGCTTACAAAAGTTTTTGAACTTAAGCTCCGTAGTTCCTCTAACATCTAGTTGAAACTCTTGCATAGATAAAACACTACTTTGTTTTTCTCGCTGGGTTTTTATCCAAACAAGCTCTTTTTGTGGAATTCTTAAATTTAGGTCACATTTGCAAAGACAATGAGCACAATTTTCACAAGATTCTTTGCAGGAGACATCATTCTCACCGCAGTAAACAACTTTGCTTTTGCAAAAAGCAATGTCTAAAAGTTTATCAAGTTTAGATTCCCAGTATTTTTTGTATTTTAGCCATTTGGGCTTTGTGTCGAACTCAGAGAATGCAGACCGACCTCTACTGAGTCTTAGTTCTATAGCTTTAGTACCACAAACTATAGACTCTTTAAACTCTGTGTTAGAAATAAACCATCTGTTGTGTAATTTCATGGACAACATTAGAAAAAATTTCTAGCATTAATAAATGATGTGAATTTTTTTCATAAACTAGTATTTTTTCTTTTCTCAAATCAAGACATCGCTGCAAACAATCACGTATGTTGGAAATTCAGTTTGAAGAAACTTTCTTGGACCTCCAAGATATTCACTAAGCTTAGTATTGATGGATTTTCTGGTTTTTGCCATTTTTCTATTTTAAATATATTATGAATCTGAAAAAAAAAAAAAACAGGAATAATAGCAACTAATTTGAAAATAACTCTATAATAGCTATCATCATATTTATAAGGTATATTTGAATATTAACTAGCACTTATACAGAAAAAATAAATAACATTTTACTATAGTAGAATTTTTTTAAATAAATAAAGCATAGGATTAATGAATATTATAAATAGTCATTATGTACATTTGTAACATAAATAAACAATATTTAGGTAAAAAAAACACAATATTTTCAGAAAAGAAAAACGTTTTAATGGTTGCAAGAGCTGCTTTTTCACCAAAAAAATTATGCCATTCAACTTAGGCTTTATAAGTACATAGGAAAAGTGATGTTCTGAATCAAAAATAGAACATGCATGAGTATGATATACACTAATGTCCATTGAATATATTTGCTGTATTGAAACTTTAATCTTTATTAAAAAAAATTCTTTAAGTTATTTGTCACATCAGTCATTAAATTAGATATCAAGCATGTACAAAACATAGCACAAATTTATTAAACTCGTTACACAAACTTGCTTTGAATCTAATGCTTCCTTTGAAATTGTTTAAATTGACTCAAGCAAACTTTGTTTAAAAAAAGATGAAGCAATGTGTTAACAGCAGTTTAAGTAACAATAGATTATTTTATTACTTATGCGAAGAGTAATAAACTCTTGGCAAGCACAACTTCTCATTTGAGAAGCCATTTTCTTTAGACGTAAAATTCTTAAAAGTGATACTTCTACCTGTACACACAATATATTTAAAAAATATTACAAAAGCACATACCCCTTGTGTAAAAATAGTTGGATTTCTGCTTTCAATCATTTTTTCCAACTCATCATCTTCAACAGTGCAACCAGCTAAAATAAGATTTAAAAAAAATGATAAAACAAGTTTTATTATTTTTTAAATCCAGAAAAATAATTTGAATCTTTTTCCTTTAAAATAATTTTTCAACTCAAAAGCATTTTGTTGGATTTTAAACAATGTGTTGTGAAAATGTAGGACATTTTTAGATATAACAGATTCAGCTTATATTTCAGTTTCAAAGGTTGCAACTAACATGTTTTTTAAATGGTCTAACTTTTAATCTAAATTTTCTTTAGTAAATCATAAAAAAACAAAACAACTTTTAGATTCAATAAAAACACAATCAATTAAAATTTTATCTTTAAAAAAATTTAAGTTTTAATAAACATAAAAAGTATTAACTTTTAAGTAATAACTTTAAATATTCTCCAATATTTAGATTTTCAATATTAATATTTAGTTTGAATTTTTTACGGTATTACCTTTTATGTAGTAGTGGTTTGAGTTCTTGAGTGAAAGGACTAAATGCCATTTCTATGGTATCAAGCTCTTGGATGAAAGGACTAGATCCCATATATAGACTTATACTTGTTACAGTAATAAGTTGAGCATAAAGTTCTTGTTTTTATGTCGCTCAAATAGTTTGAGTTTCTTAATTTTCATATGGTTTGAGTTTCACATTTTTCAAAAAAAAAATTCATTTATTTTCATTTTTCAAAGAAAATAAAGTTTTATCCATGGCTGAACATTTTTTTAAAATTAATTTAAATAAAATTTTTATAAAATAATAAAAATAAATAAAATTTTTATAAAATAATAAAAATAAATAAAATTTTTAATATTCTTTGTTTTATGTACAAATGTATTTCTAACATCTCCTATTTCTTTTCATAATCTATATACCTTAAAAGATAAAAGTAAATACAACTTAAGAAATGATAATTTAATTAACCTTTTTTTCAAACTAATTTTGGAAAGTCTAGTATTTCATTTTAATGGCTTTTCTTCGGAACAGAATAGTTTAGATAAACTTTGATTTTTCCTTCGAATGGAATTTATTTATTTATATATATATATAACACCTAATGGGTCTCCGCATTCCTTAGTTTTTATTTTTATTGATATACTCATTTGTATTTTTTTACTTTTTTATATGTTGTATGAGGATAAACAATAAATGTAAAATAAAGAATAAAAAAAAAAAGGTAAAGAAAAATTAAATTATCTATATTTTGTCTCTCTCTCTCTCTCTCTCTCTCTCTCTCTCTCTCTCTCTCTCTATATATATATATATATATATATATATATATATACAAATATGTAAATGAAAAATAAGGGCCTTATTTTGCGGTGGCAAACACAATCCACCATTTGACTTATGGTAGGATTGTGTCCGACCACATTTTGGTATGGAGCATAATGGACTTGTGGTTCTTTTTAAAACATTTTATAAAATTTTAAAACAAACACAATTTCTTTTTTTCATACAAATAAATTTAATTTTATTCCTTAATGAACTAGTTTAATCAAAACAATGTTAAAATGATTTTAGATTTTTACATTATTTTGATATAAACTAGTTTTGCTGCAAATTAACAAATTATAATAGTTAAAAAAAATATGAATCCACAAAAACAATAAAAAATTGAAAAAATTTGTGGTGCTTCTTATTAAATTAAGATTATGTGCTATTCATTTCATATTCATAACAATTCTTACATATACAAATACCTTTAACAAAGAAATACATATGGTCAACTTACCAATATGCAACTGCTTTTTAATTCTGTTTTTACAGCGATCTCTGTAGTCATTTTGTATATTATTATATTCAGTCATTGCTTCAACAAATTCTCTTGATAATGCTAAATGCTAAAATAAATTTTTTGATAAACAAAGGTTAATTAATGTTATAAATTTCAATTCAAAGCTACTTCATAAATCAGAAATTATCTTACAACACAAATGCACACTCAAATAAAATTCAGATTTCAATTGCTTCACCTCAGGTCTACCCAATCAGAGTTAAGGTATGATTTTAATACTTCAATTTTTATGTCAGTACTTCTGAAAAAACATAAACTTGGTAAAATGTTAGATTCAAACACTCTCTTGTTTAGTTATATAAATAACTTTTAAAGGCTTTTTGTGACCATGAATTTTTAGGCCAAAATTTTTTCAGAAAGATATAGTAGAAATTTGATGAAGTAGAGGCTTTCAACATTTTATAATTATTTTATCTATGTCCGAAAATATGGACAAAATATAATTTTTTTAAATGGTAAGAAAAAAAAAGGTTTGACCAAACTTTTAACTGTCCAATATTTATTAACCTTATTTATTGTAGAAAACTTATTCATAATCTTCCCACAGTGGTAACTTTAATGTTCAATTTAAAACAGTATATTATTTAAATCAAACTCTAGTCCCAATAATATTTAAAAACTTTGGCATATAAAATTCGCCGAATGGTCACACACGAGCAGTGAACGCCTGAGGGAAGAAATGAAGTACATTAGAATAAAGGAGAATTATTTATTAGACAAAGCATATTTTGACAGTTGTCAAGACAAAAATAAAGATTAATAGAGGAATATTTAAAAATAAAAATAAATAAGACAAGCTATACAACCAAAACAGTACTCAACCATAATAACAATATAAAAAATTAAAAAAAATTAAAAACAAATAATAACAAATAATAATAAAAAATATATATATATATATATATATATATATATAAATAAAAAATTAAAAAAAAAAAAAAAAAAAATTGTTTTATAATTACCAATATGAACTAAAATATACAAGAAATACATAACCAGTCAAAAATTTGTAAAACAAAAAACTATTCAACAAATTAAAAATATGCTAACGACAATGAAAGGACTAATAATGGAAAAAAAACATTAATGCTAATGTGTAAACATAATTAGTGTAGTGATAAGTAATAAACATCTCCTCAGAGTCGCGTCTATTATTACTGGCGTTTCGATGAGGATCAGCATTTATAACTAGTTTATCCCGTCAGACAAACGTCATCGCCACTTATGCTTTACCCCGCGACTTACGCCTATTCCATACTGCAGTAAAAAAGGACTCACTACAAATAGCCAAAACCCAACCAACCCCAAATTTGTAAAGCAGCAATATTTTTCTTGATGATATGATATAAAACGTATAGATTTACTGAACAAACAAAAATAAAAATAACTAAATAAAACACTTACCGTACCACCAAAAGAAAACATGAAAACAAAATAAATTAAAATTCTAATAGAAACATAAAAATATTAATCAATTTATTTTAAGAAATAAAGCCAAATAGGTATTATTAGCATAAACAAGCCCAAGATAATCAGAAAGCAGTATACCTCCTTAAAAATTTTTTTTAATAAACAAAACAATACCCTTAAATAAACTCTAACGCTGTCATAGATACCTCATTCGAAATATGATAACCAATCAAAAGTGTAGGAAAATGAGTAACCCGCGAAACCCAAAATCATAACAATAATAGAATAATATATGATAGCGAAAAAGAACGTTGCACAAAAACCTTAAAAATGTAAGCGACATATGTGTAAACATTAAATGAAGGATATAAAAATATTCTCTGAATAATAATAAAGATAAAAATTGTGCATGTGAAAATTAAAACAAAGCTCAGTAATGAATGCAAGATAATATAACATGAAAGTTTCTGTAAACAGTAATAATATGAAAATCAGGAGATAAGTAAAATATTAACAAATATAGCAATAAAACTAAATAAATATTGTAATAAAACCAGATAATTTTAAGCCAAATGAGTGGTTAAAAAATTGTGGTTAAAAAAAAGTTTGACCAAACTTTTAACTGTCCAGTATTTATTAACCTTATTTATTGTAGAAAACTTATTCATAATCTTCCCACAGTGGTAACTTTAATGTTCAATTTAAAACAGTATATTATTTAAATCAAACTCTAGTCCCAATAATTTTAAATCAAGTTTTTGATGTTACTGCTAAACATAAAGGATTACTTTCAGTTATTGCCATAAATACTTATAAAAACTGTTTTTATATTGTATTACAGATAACCATTACTTAAGGCTAAACAATATAGTTAAACTTTAAATAAAGCTTATAAAAGAATTTTATAAAACAAACCTGACACTTTTTTTTGCGAATATCTGCAAAGTTTCCCGTGTTTGCACTTTCTTGATCTTTTATGCTTTTTTCCATATCTAAATAAATTATAAATCAAAATATCAAAAATTTTGTTAACATTATGCTTTGCATAAACATAATACAATAAAATATATATATAAATGCGTTTGTGTGAGTGTGTGTGTGTATATATATATATATATATATATATATACATATATATGCAGTAAGGATATATATATATATCTATATATCTATATCTATATCTATATCTATATCTATATATATATCTATATATATATATATATATATATATATATATATATATATATATATATAAATATATATATATATATATATATATATATATATATATATATATATATATATATATATATATATATATATATATATATGCAGTAAGGATATATATATATATGTATATATCTATATCTATATATATATAATATATATATATATATATATATATATATATATATATACATATATATATATATATATATATATATATATATATATATATATCTATATATATATATATATATATATATATATATATATATATATATATATATATATATATATATATATATATGCAGTAAGGATATATATATATCTATATATCTATATATATATATATATATATATATATATATATATATATATATATATATATATATATATATATATATGTATATATATATATATATATATATATATATATATATATATATATATATATATATATATATATATATATAGATATATATATATATATATATATATATATATATATATATATATATATATATATATATATATATATATATATATATATATAGATAGATAGATATAGATATATATATAGATATATATATATAGATATATATACACACACACACACACATATATATAGATGGTACAAGAGGCGCTAGCTCTTTAGAGCAGTGCCCATTAGTTTTTGTAGAAAAGAGAAAGAGAAGCAACATTACAACAATGTGATAATGGTTGAAGGTTGGCTGCAAAAGCTGGTCCAACTATGTTTACAATGCGTTTTTGTACCTTGTCTAAAAGAGAAATGACATCATTGGAAGATCCGCCCCAGATATGGTAACAGTATTCTATACAAGGCGGATTTGAGATTTATAGAGGTAAAGAATAGAATCCGGAGTAAGAAAGTATCTAGCAGGATAAAGAGATGCAACCTTAGCAGATGCTAATTTTGCAATCAATTTAATCAAGTACATTACCGTTCATAAATATAGAAAAATCTAAATTATTGCCATAACAATTGGCTAAAAAAAATTTGGATTTTATCCAGGCTTTCACAGGAAGACGTACGATTTCATGTCTTTATATGACCACGCAAGTTACATTTTGCTATGACAGTTTGACCGCGGCTAATTTAAAAACATTATAGAAATGCGCTAAATAAAAAATATTCTAAATAAGTGAAATTAATTACATCAAAACTTCTTAACAAATGTTTTTATATTAGCGCAACGATTTTAAATAAAGTAACAATTTACTGAAAAAAAGTTTTGTTTTTTAAATATAATTGACGTTGTATATATTTTTTTAATTTAAAACATATAAATTGTTTAAGTGTTCATTTCTAAAACAAATCTTATTTAAAAATAAAAAATTGTTTTGTTTTTATAAACGATGACATTCTACGACTACGAAAGTCTCTTTAATGAATTTAAATATAAGAATGATTAAAGTTAATGCATTTAAAAAGATAAACAAAATTTCGTTAAAAAAAAGAGTTTTAGAAAACCGTTACAATTTAATAAGTTTGATCTTAAATGCTTTTATATTATCGAAACGCTTTTAATGAAGTAAAAAAAAAACACTTCTAATTAATTTAAAAAAAAGTTTTAATAAAATATTTTTTTTATTTTATTTATATAACTATGTATTTTTTATGAGAAATATTTAACTTTTGAACATATTAAATAAATAATATATTAAAATGTTGAAACAAAAATTGAAAAGGTTTTTTAATGCGTAAAATAAATAGACTAAGCATTTTAGTTTAATGGGTTTTGTTTTAGTTGCGTTATATATATATATATATATATATATATATATATATATATATATATATATATATATATATATATATATATATATATATATATATATATATATATATATATATATATATATATATTTACTTTTTTGTGTTTTTGTTTTAACTAAGTATTTTTTTTTTATTTTCTCTTTCGTTAATATTTTTTATTTTTTTTAATTTTTTTTTAGATAAGTTTAGGTAAGTTTTTGTAGCACGTTTTTAAATTTTAAAAATATGCCATGGTCAAATCGTTAAATTTTTTTTTTTGCGTGGTCATATAAAGACGTGAAATCGCAAGTCTTCCTGTGAAAGCCTGGTTTTATCTAAAGTTCACCAGCCACTGTGAGCCCCATCCTGTGCAGGAATGAGATCCTTTTCAAGCCTCCTCCAAGCAATTAAAGAGATTCTTATCATGATTGATTGGATTCTTATCATGACAAGAATCAATGGTTGTATCATCAGCAAACAATGCCTCCTTAGATGTGAGAATATCTGCAAGATCATTATTGTAAATCAAAAACAGTATAGGGGCGAGGATAGAACCATGAGGAACCCCTGAAATGACAGGAAATGTAATATGTTATCTGATACACCATAAGAAGAAAGCTTATGAAAAAGTCTAGAATGCCAAACTTTATCAAAAGTTTTAGAAATGTTAAGAGCCTTAACCTCTCCACCTCTATATAATGCATAATAAAACCTATCGGTTATTACTGTTAGCAAATCAGCTATAAAAGAAGTTTGAAATCAATATTGATGGTCAGAAAGTAAGTTATTAGATTTAAGATAATATTTAAGATATATAAAAAGAATATTTTAAGCATATACTAAAAGAAATATACTTTGATTTATTAAACCAAGTTTTTTTCTCACTTTTTAATTATAATTTCATTGAAAGCATCAACTTAAAAACCATTTGAATGAAAAAATTAATCATACCAAAAACTTTAATCATACAAGATAGTTCATAGACAAGATAGTTCATAGACAAGATAGTTCAGAGACAAGATAGTTCATAGACAAGATAGTTCATAGACAAGATAGATAATAGATCAAGAAGCAATAAATTAGAAAAATCGTGTTAATGTTTTTTTGTTTTGATCATAATCGTAAGGTCTATAGATATAGCATGTTTTTACACAAGTTTTATGAAGATAATATTTTATAAAAACAATCAAATTTCTTTGTTTTATTTTAAATGCATATTATGTTATTATCATTACAAATAGTATAAAACAGTGTCACAAAGCTGTTTTAGATTAACACAACTTGTGTCAATCTAAAATGTAAAGAGCTTGTGTCACTTATATATAATATTGTCAAAAGAACTTTTCAGTATTGTTTTATTGCTGTTTTACAACAACTATTCAATATTCTTTAAAAATAACATGTGTGTTTTATCACCAGCATAAACGTATTAAATAGTTTTCTATAACTAAAGTGATTTAAATATTGTAATACTTGAATTTTCACTTAAACTTTTTTAAGTATCAATTACTAAAAGTAATATTGTAACAGTATCAAATTTGTTACTTTCTCATTATAAGTTGGTTATTCCATTAAATCAAACAACTTCAATTCGATGCAGAGACTTCTGGAATGGCGGATGTTTTTTTATAACGAGTTTTATAAATAAATTAAAAAAAAAAAAAAAAAAAAGAAAGATAAAGAAAGAATAAAATAAGATAAAAAAAAACAAAAAAACAAGGAGAAAAAAAACAAATCAAACAAAATTAACAAAAGAAAAAAGAAATGAGAAAAGAAAAATGAAAGCAAAAAACCAAAGTTAAAAGAAAAAAAACATTTGAAAATGAAAAGGAATTAAAAAGAAACTAAAATAAAATATAAAAATTGCTCTGTTTTTTAAGAAAGAAAAAAAAATATTTTTTAAATTTTATTATTTTTGAGTGACGATATGTGTTTGGTTGATATGATTTACTTTTTTATTTTAATATTGTCATTTATTATAAAAACTCTATACTTTTTGTGACTAAATGTTTGTGTGTGTGACACGTTTTTATTTGTGAGTATTTTGAATAATTTTTGTTTTTTTTATTTATTGTTATTTTCATGGTTTACTTGTTTATTCATAACAGGTTTTTCCCACCCTATATGAATGCTTTCTTTAATTTTAAATTCAATTTTGTTTTTAGCACAATCCAAAATCGAAAAGCATTCATCATTATAATTTTTAAAATATTTTTCTTTTGAATGAAGATGTTTATAAATAAGAGTTTTTATCCCTTCTGTAGTGTTCAATTACTGGCGTTTTTAGGTGGCGAGAAGTTTCGCCAATATAACAGGACTTACATCCTGCACAAACAAATATGTAGACGACAAATGATTTAAAATCTACAGGAAGGTGATCTTTAGATGAAAAAAAATTAACAACACTAACCTTGGTCTTGGACTCTTAAAATTTAATATGATTTACTGGTTTCTTTTGTTATATTTGACATTTGTTAAAATAATTTTTAATAAATCTTTTTGCATATATAGGAAGTTTGTTTACAATTTTATGACTTTTATTATGTTTATTTTTACAATTATATACTATATTTTATAGTGTTTTTAACAAATATATTTTAACCGATGATGACTAACATGTGATAACTAAAAATCTGGACAAAGTTTGAGTAAATATTAAAATATGAAGGAATAATTTAATATACTTGCAATCATTCCTATTTTATTACAAATTTAATTCTTTAAATGCATTATTAAAAAAAAATTTCTTTAGTAATAATCAAAAATGAAAAAAAAGACTTGTAACGAAGACTCCCTTAGAAAATGCATGTACGCATTTTTGGATTTGCATCCAGATAAGAATTATTGCATCCAGATAAGAAAGCTTTATTGTAAATCATTTTCAAATGGAGAACATACCAAAATCTACTATTTATAATATACTTCAAAGAAAGAAGAATAATATAGGACCAGAAAGAAAAGTTGGAAGTGGTCGCAAAGCAAAAAAGATTC